CCTTCCCCCGCAAACCGTCGGCTGCCTCACTGCCGGCCCTGCTAAGCCTCATGCCAGCCCACAGCCCTAAAGCAGGCCGTGCATCCAGCCTCGAGGCGCTTGGCCCGTGCAGAGGCCCAGGCCCCAGGAGTCACCGTCGGAAGTGCAGCCCTCCCCCCATCCTCTCACCCCCCATGACCCAGAGGCCACACTTGGCCTTCTCACCCATCCTTAACCTTGACCCATCCAGGCACTTCGGGGCAAGCCCCTGGCTTCAGCTCTGCTGCCCCACGAGTTTTATTGCTGAATAAACAGTTGAGAGCCCTTTTAAATAGTGATTAAGAAAAAGTACAAACAAGACCCAAAGCCATCTCAAGCCTTAATCCACAAAAGGAGAAAACGGAGCAGCCGTGGCTCACGCCCAGGGCTGGGCATGGACAGCAGTCGGGGGCGGGGGGAGCCACCTGCCAGCAGTTACGCTGCGGACGAGACGCCCAGTCTGGCTTCACCACCCCCAGATTCCAGAGAGAAGCTGAACCGTGAAATGTAAGGCTCAGAAAGACCTCAGAAATTCAGACGGCGCTTTAGAGCACTGTCTCTCGAGGGTCATCTGCCCAGGACCTCGTGGGTCCGGGGGCAGACTCTGAGCCCGTGGGTCGGGGCGCCTGGCACTCTGCATTTTTACCAGCTCCGCGAGGCCAGCGCCGAGGCTGCGGGGCCCTTGCTGAATGCAGGCTCAGGGCCCCTGCCCCCGTCGGGGAAGGTGGAGGCGCTCCCTGTTCTGTGTTTCCTGCGGAGGACCAGGGCAGACTGTGCTCAGCAAACCTCGTCCCAGACAAGCTCCCATGTACCTGCAGCCTTGAGCCAGCGCAGCACGGGGCGCGACCTCTGCAAACTTCCAGATTCGTGGTCAGAAGCGTTGAGCTTTTAAAACCGACTTACAGGTTTTTATTTATTATGAATTTTTTTTACGAGTTTACAACAACAGGCATGGGCTCAGAAGAGGTCTTCTCTCTTTGAAGAGTGTCAGCGAAACGCTTCAGGCAATAAAACACGTCATTGGGGTCAGCCTAGGAAGGTGGGCATGGAAGGGGTGTCGTGTGCCACTTAGGAGCTGGTGGCCTTGGGCCAAGTGACAGCACTTCTATGCTTCAATAACCTTACCTGCAAAATGTGGATAGTCGTGGGCCTCCTCGGGCGCGGCAGGGAGAACGCAAGGGTTTACACAGGCTGTGCCGCAGCTCCCGGCGTGCGACGTGCAGGAAGCCCTCATCGAACATGAGTTGCTAAGTTGTTGTTGTTACTCCTTCATTGGTGCCTGGGAGGGGAGACTTACACAAAAGTGCAGGAATTCCTCAGCGTGGATTGCAGACCCTAGTGTGGGAACCGGGCTGCGCGTTCATTCAGTAACGGGGGCAATTTCCAGGCACGAAGCAGACAGAAGAAATGGGGCTTCGGTGACAGGTGAGATTTACATGGAAGATGTTGATCCAGTAGAGCCAGCCCCCAGGACCCAGCTCCACTGCAGAGCCGGGGGCAACCGCGGGCCCCAAGGACAAGGGGCTGTATACTATGAGCTGAAAAAGCCCCACCCGCCTTGGAAGGTCAGAATTCCATGAATCACTGAGAGTAAAAGTGCCTCCAAAGCGGGCTTCATCTTCACCCAGACCTGGCCTTGGTGTTCTGGGGTCACACACCGCGTTCTCTAAGGGGCCAAGGAGACAGGCAGGCGAAATGCAGACCAGGAAGGCTGTCGGCCCGTCCCCTGCTGCATAGGGGTCTCAGGATGGGAAGTGCTGTCAGAAAGATAAGCAGTCGTACTGGAAGGTCACTCGTCTTCTAGAAATAGCGCTTAGCACGAACAGCCCCTCGGGTTAACCCTCCCAAGCCTTTCACTCCTCATTAGGCCCAGGGCCACATTGCCCGGGGTGACCTGGCCCCTCAGCCGTCTCCACCTCTCACATAAGAAGGCCTCAGTGTTTCTGAGCACAAGAGATGGATCAAGTTAATCAAGTATTGGGCTTCCCTGGTGGCGCAGTGGTTGAGAGTCCGCCTGCCGATGCACGGGACACGGGTTCGTGCCCCGGTCTGGGAAGATCCCACATGCCGCGGAGCGGCTGGGCCCGTGAGCCATGGCCACTGAGCCTGCGCGTCCAGAGCCTGTGCTCCACAAGGGGAGAGGCCTCAACAGTGAGAGGCCCGCGTACCGCAAAAAAAAAATTAAAAAAAAGTTAATCAAGTATTGATCGACTCAAATGTGTCATTAACTATTATTATTGCTATTTCCATTAGCTGAAGTTACATTTTTTAATTGATGAAATTCTCAAATTGTTTGGCATGTGTAGACACGTCTGCGTAGAGAGGAAAGTCCTTTGCCCTCATATTGGACACAGGACGGCCATTCCCCGGGACAGGGCTCAGTGGATCAAAGGGAGCCTGCCAGCCCACCGCCTCAGGTCAGACGGAGCGTGGCCTGGGGAGAGCCGCGTGTCCATGGCATTCCACAGTCAAGCCAGAGACGGGCACTGAGAGATCCCAGCATCCCAGTTCATCCAAGAGAGAATCCGAGTCACTGACACAGCTTTAGAACCACACAAGGTAGGTATGAGCCCTCCTGGAGCTCCCCTAAATTATTCATTCACCAGCAAATATGTGTTCTGTCAGCCACTCCGTGCAAAGCGCTGTGATGAGTAACACACGATTCTTTCCCTCAAGGACTCTATCATTTGGAGGAGACAGGCAGGTTAATCACTAACTCTTACGCGGGGCGGGGTGAGATAAATGCTTAAATAAACGTATAGGCAGTGCATTACGGGGCTGCTGGGAGGGAGTCATGAACCCTGACTGGAGGCTTGGGGGGTGAGCCAGCATTTAAGTCGGGCGTCGAGGACCGCCACAGGCAGAGAAGAGCGAGGGAAGCATGGCCCAGGCCGTGAGCTGGGACTTAATCCGTAACCGTGTTTACTAGATTGCGCTCCACACTGTCCGAATATCCAAACGACATTGTTGTCCGCTTTTCGCCTAGCATCCGCGCCCGGAGGCCTTTCCCTGCAGGGCACAGAGACCTTCCTCACTCCTTCTCACCTCTGCGTATCATCCAGGCTGCAGAGACCTTTCCCGCTCATGCTGAGCAAGGCAAACAGCGCGTTCTCATCAGTTCTTTATTCGATGTCCACCTGCACATCCAACGTCGGTTTTAGGAAGTCAGCAGTTCCACGTCCCGAGCTCTAGCGCTTGGTCGTAGTCTCTCCAATACAAGTGAAGCACGTGAGTCTGGGAAGCCCCTCCCGAGAGCACAGCGACCGTCTGCTACGTGTCTGCCATCCCCCCAGCTTAGGGCGGTGCAGAGGCCTTGCTGGTGTTCGGTACCCGAGGTCAGGCTGTCGGGGAAAAAGCGCTGGCCAAGGGCCCAGAGGGTGCAAGGACGCCTCTCCCGTCACACCCTGGGCCCCTTTCCTCTTAGGCTGGAGTCCTTCTGTCATTCAGGCCCCCAGGAAGTGAGTGGCTACCAGTGACTCTGGATGAGGCCCTCGGAGGCTCATTTGTCCGTCTGCGGAACCGGAACCCCAGGCCTGCGTGGTCACCCCCCAGCTGTAGCACAGCCCGAGGTTCAGGCCTCAGGCCTCCTCAGACCTGGCCCCCAGCAGAGGGAAGGAGGAGACAGAGGCCGCCACTGAGGGCAGAAGTCATTGTGGAGAGTTGGAAACACACGAATATTTTTAATGAAGTGACACAGAGTCACGGGGCAGTAGGGTGCTGACCTGAGGTGGAGCAGGTCCAGGGTGAACTGCACGTCTCATGGTTGCTGTGCCCAGCCCAACACCATGTGTAGTGGTCGTACGGGGTCGGTGGAGCCGTGATGAGCCGAGGGCCCAGTTTGCTGCCTGGGCAGCCACTGGCCTGGCTGGTTCCGTGCCCACCACCTGCACCTGGGAACCAAGGCCCATTGGCCCAAATCCAGGCGACACCCAAGAGGGCAGAGCAACGACGGCCCAGAAACGCCTCTCCCAGCAAACACTTACTGACGTGCCCCCCAAGTGAGCAAACGCCAGGCAGGAGCCCCGAGGATCCCCGGGCAGAGCTGCAGCCTCTGTCTCACTCCCCCTGCGACGCCCTCTGGGACTAACCCTCCCAGCCTGAAAGGGACGCACAAAGTCCTCCCAGGAAAAATCACCCTTCACCTGGGTGACTGGGGCTGCTGGGGTCCAAGCTGCTGCCCACCCTCCAGAGCCCCCATGGCCTGCCGGGGGAGGGGACACAGAGGGACTGCAGGTGGGAGGCCTCGCAGCTTCCCCACCCCAACTCTCACACGCACACACAGAGCCCCAGCTCAGGACTCTTCACCTTGAGGAAGTCCTCTCCTGTCCCCATCTGAGCCGGGTAAGGATGCAGACAGAGCGGGAACAGTGCAGACGCAGACGGTCTCCGCCCACCACCCTTGGGATGTGGGCCACCATGGGCCTCCTTGGCCTCTTTCTTCAGCTGAAAAATTAGGAACAGGCCTAAAGGGTTTTTCAAAGATTAAATACAATCATCCGTACAAAGAGCCTGCAAGTGGTTCGGTTCTGGGTGTACTTTGAAGCTGGAGCGAACACGCTTGCTGACGCTTGGGCGTGAGGGATGGGAGGTCAGGTTGCGGGCTAGTGCCCGGGGTGGCCTGTGCAACAGGAACATGGGCTCACCCCAGCCGAGGCGGGCAGGGCACAGGGGGCAGGCTGGGGAGGGACAGGACATGCGTCCTGAGACGCCCACCAGGCCTCTAAGTGGAGGGACCCAGGACCCAGCTGCCCAGGTGAGTCTGCAGTTCGAAGAAGGGGCTGCCCTGGAGCTTGGCTTGAGGGTCAGCGGCACAGAGATGATGCTCAAATCGGGGAGAGGAGACCCCCCACTGCCCCCCGCGCAGAGAGAGATGAGGATGGAGAGTGGGGCCAAGCGCACCAGGGTCAGATGTCGGGGACCAGCCAGAAGGGGAGGCCGAGGAGGAACCTGATGAGGTGGGAAGGAGCCCGGAGGCCCCGGAGGAGGGGAGATCTGGCGGGCAGACGCTGATGGGATTCAAGTTCAAAAGACGGGGATTACGCCTTGGGTCAAGCAACGTGGAGAAGACCGTGACAGAGCAGTGGGGCGGACCAGGTCTGCAGGACAGCACGAGGGGGTTTCTGACGTCAGACGGAGATAAACGTCAGACAGAGACAGCACGTTAAGAAGTTTGCCGACGGGAGGTGCAGGGAACTGGGGCCAAGAGGAATTTGGGGCTTTTTTCCTGAGACGAGAGAAATAACAGCACATTCCTGTGTGAGTTGGAAAGACCAGGAAAGAGGGAGATCGGGCCGATGCCGGCCAGGGAGGGTGGAAGTGCTGCTCCCAGCCCAGGGCAGCAGCGGGGTGGGCCTGGTGCTCAGGGAAGGGTCTGGCCTTCAGTGCAGCGTGGCCGCTCATCCGATCCCAGAAGCGCGATCCACAGCAGTTCCCAAATGAAAGTAGAGGCAGGGCTCCCGCAGGGTCAGCTGGCTGATTTGTTCAAAATAGAGACATTTGCAATGCAGGTAGGCTTGTGCGTTTTGAAAAGCTCTCCGGAGACATTTAACGGCCCCATTACAAGGAGTCCCCACCTACCCAGCCCGGCCCCATTACAAGGAGCCCCTGGCATGCGGGATGCAGTGATACAGCCGAGAGACGGCTGGGCCTCTGAGGCCCTGGGGATGACAGTGGAGTGTGTGACAGAGGCCGGGTGGCAGGTGGCAAAGGAGCAGGACGTGGGGCAGTTGGGCCTGCAGTCGGTGGAGAAACCGTGTCCCCATTCATTATATTTATGGCTCTGCTCTGATTCATTCATTGTGATTTTATAGATTATTTTCATTTTAACGTGCAATTTACTTTTCCTATTTCCAAGCTGGCAGGAATATTTCACTGCTGTCCCCCTGGGTCCCTCTCCACATTCAGCTGCCCCTCTGCTTCAGATCCAGACAGGGTCATCCTCATCCTGGAGACCCTGAGTGGTCCAAACAACCCTGTTCTATTCACTATTCTATCCCTCAGCACACTCCAAACACGCACACACGCACACACACACGCACACGCACACACGCACACGTACACACACGCACACACACGCGCGCACACACACACACACGCACACAGAAAATAACCAGAGAACCACACTCCCAAAGGTAACCATCCTCTGGTCAGTAGGACGTCCAAGTTTCTCTCCTGGTGCTGTAATGGCCCATCTCACTCCCTACACCCCTGGGGAAGGTTCTCCCAGCTCTGCAGTGAAGGGCTCGCATGAAGGGAAGAAATTGAGATTGGAGTTAAGGAGGAGAGACAAGGAAGGGGACTGAGCCCCCGGTGATCACCTACCGGTCGCTGCCCCCATGGTTCTGGGGGGAGAGGGTCCCCGACTCATGCCTGCCAAACCCAACCTGAATGCCTGGCAAGCGTCACGACCACACAGAGCGGAGCGGGGAGGAGGTGGTTTTATGGAAAAGACCTGACTGGGGGTGAGGGTGGAGGTGACGGAGCCTGGAACCGCACCTTGTATACAGTAGGTGCTTAGCAAGGATCTGTGAGAGGGTGAATGGATGAATGCAGGGCGAAGCGACAGCCGGTGAGCAGAGCCTGTCGTGTGCCGACCCGGAGCCTCAGGACGCGGGGTGGGAGCCAGTCGCCCAGGTGGGAACAGCAGCTGGAGGGTTTCCCGAAGCCCCATTCACCCTCCGCCAGAGACCACAGGCTCCGCGGGCTTCCTGACAGCCTTCAAGTGCCAAGATCAAAGGTGAGGAATGTTTTGAAACTAGGAGCAGTTTGGGCTCCATCCCTGGTTTCCCAACCCCTCTGTCCAGAGTCACTGTGATCTGTTCCCTGAGTGGAGTTTGCACAATTTTTCTCCAGCCCAGCTGACGCAAAGAAGTCGAGGGGCTGGGAGGCTCTGCCACTTAGTTAATCGTCCTAAATGGACAGCAGGCCGTTCCACATGCTCTCGTGTATTACCTCACTTAATCCTCACAACAGCCCTGTTTTTATTCACATTCGACAGTTGAGAAGACTGGGCAGTTACAAAGCCCCCCCAAGGCCATGGTGAGTATATTGGTCCCTGGGAATTAGACACAGGCAGTGTGGCTCCACAGGGCTTGCTCTTAACCTCCAGGCTATACTGCCTCCCTTAAGCCAAAACACTAGGTTACGGCTATCTACTCTGTGTCCAGCTGTCCATCCATCCACCCGACCATCCATCTGCCCACCCATCTAGTCAGCTGTCCACCTGTCCACACATCCATCCATCCATCCATTTGTATATCCATCCTTCCTACCATCCAACCATCCCACCATCCATCCCTCCATTCAACATCCATCCCCCTGTCCATTTATCCATCCGTTAATCCATCTTTCCATCTGTTTGCCTGTCCATCCATCCACCCATCCAACCATCCATTCATCCATCCATCTGTCCGTCTCTCCGTCCATCCAACCATCTATATATGTATCTATCACTAACAAGTCTTATAGGATACTGGTTAGGCAGGAGTCCAAACAAGATGACAAAGGGAGGAAAAGGAGATGACATGCCTATTGTCTGTATTATCACATGTATTAGTCTACACACATGGAGAAAACACGAAACAGAGGCTGAGGTCTGGTGAGCATTCTTCTGCGGCCCAGGAGGAAAGCTTCCCCAGGTGTCTTCCCTATTGACCCCCCTCTAGGCCCATCCTCACCCTCATTCTACCTGTTATCTCTGCACTTCACACCATCCTTACACTCCCCCAGGAAAGCCTTTCTTCTCATCCCCCAAGCTTCACCTTAGTTCTGGACAACACTGCGTTTTTGCCAAAGCATAAACTTCATTTATGGAAGGAAACTAATTAGACATTTGGTCATCAATTACCAGGACCAGAGTGACCTAAGGGGTCGACTGCATTGATTGGTGAAATTATAACAAAACACATGTAATTTTCCACAATCTTGGCATCGTATTCTATGACAAGTGAAACTCCCATTCTCGGGACAAGCTCTGTTGTAAATATAACGATGAACTATGAGCTATTTCTCAATCTTGTTACCACCAGCGTAAATTCAAATGTCAGCACACAAGCGGCTGCCAGGAGACAGCGTGAGTGCCAGCTCATAAAGGAGTCTTTGTGTTTCCATCTGGTGCAAAAGAGAGGAAACGACTTTGATCAATAGATAATATGCACAGTTGTTGGGGGCTTTCAATACAGCCAATAAACACAATCTTAAAATTGAGTTCTGTAAAGTATGCTCACCTTTCGTTTCTTTGTACTGGCCTTGATCGACCTTAAGCTTCTGTAATGTTGCTACCTATGGGACAAAGTTGAGGGACAAAAATTAGAATGAAAGAAATGAAAAGTAATCTTGCTTTTCCTTCTGATTTTAAAACAAGGTCGCTATGGGCTTCCCTGGTGGCGCAGTGGTTGAGAGTCCGCCTGCCGATGCAGGGGACATGGGTTCGTGCCCTGGTCCGGGAGGATCCCACATGCCGCGGAGCGACTGGGCCTGTGAGCCATGGCCGCTGAGCCTGCGCGTCCGGAGCCTGTGCTCCGCAACGGGAGAGGCCACAACAGTGAGAGGCCTGTGTACCGCAAAAAAAAAACACCAAAAAATACCCCAAAAAAGCAAGGTCACTATTTATCACATCCATATTATATATTACGTATCTCAAGACCCTCATTCTCCCGTTCGGTGAACGCTTGCTTAGCTATGCTTTTCTGAACAACAGCTCACATTGATTCAGTGCAGAGACGGCAGCTAACGCTGCTCACTGGTACCATGAGACCCTCCAGCACTCAAATCCCTTTCCTCTGGCCACTGGTTCTGGCATCCTGGGCCCAGAACGAAGATAATGCAAACCCAGAGGACTCACAGCAGATGCCAAGTGGACGTGTAGAAGGAGCAGAAACTGACACCTTGGGGTTGTTGGATTCTATGGCTTCTTGCAGCCTCCCTAATAAAAGTGCCCACTGGGCACCGGACGCTGTTCTAAAGCCTTTAGCTGCAGCCACTCATTTTGTGCTCAGAGCAGCCCTCTGAGACGGACTCTGCTCGTGCCTAGTACAGAGCCTGAGGCACAGAGTAGAAAGGTTTATGGCACCCTTACACCCCAGCGCTTTAATAAATCAAGTCATTTTATAAAACTCAGATTCTGTTCTTAAGGCCTTAAATATTCAGTTTTACGTGCACAACTGTGGATGACAACAGCAAGATGATTCCCCTACTTCTTGAGAGTGAGGGACATCAAGACTGAATAAAGGATGCAGACCACCCCCCTGGCCAGTCGGGAGTGGTCCATGACGCTCTCCCCAGAGCAGCCAAAATGTGACTAGAACCCAGCTTCCAAGCGGGTAGAGCTGTGTCAACCTCATTGGGTCGGTTTCAGCCATGAGCTGCTGAGCCCCGAGCCACACCTCCCCTGCCACCCCAGGACCTTCAGCTCGGTGCTGTCGAAAGGGGTTCAAACCCTGGGGTTTCCACAAGGAACTGCAACGGAAGAGAGGGAGGGCTTGCTTCCGGAGCTCCACCCACCCCCAGCTCACCAGAGCTCCTCTGCTCCCGCACTGATACATTGGATTTCCATTCCAACCTTATTTGAAGAGACAGTTCCATGCCTTGAAAAAACGTTGAAACCCACTAGTATAAAATAAGCCCGCAGTCAGCACTATTTACAATAGCCAGGACATGGAAACGACCTAAATGCCCACTGACAGATGAGTGGATAGAGAAGATGTGGTACATACATGCAGTGGAGTATTACCCAGCCATAAAAAGAATGAAATTACGCCATTTGCAGCAACATGGAGGGACCTAGAGATTATCATACTAAGTAAAGTAAGTCAGAAAGAGAAAGACGAACACCATGTGATGTCACTTGTATGTGGAATCTAAAATACTACCCAAATAAACATATCTAAGAAACAAAAACAGACTCACAGACAGAGAAGAGACTTGTGGTTGCCAAGGGGGAGGGGTGAGGGAGGGATGGATTGGGAGTTTGGGATTAGCAGATGCAAACTATTAAGTATAGGATGGATAAACAACAAGGTCCTACTGTAGAGCATAGGGAGCTCTATTCAATATCCAGTGATAAACCATAATGGAAAAGAATACAGATATGTATAGCTGAGTCATTTTGCTGTACAGCAGAAATTAAACACAACATGTAAATCAACTAGACTTCAATAAAATTTTTAAAAAAATAAGCCTGCACTCAGGAGGCACACAGAGCAGGTCAGCAAGCCAACTTTGCACTTCCGAGTCGTGCAGCCTTGCTAGAGTTACCTTCCCCGTTACTTTAGTGCCTCGGGCATAAAATGGAAATAATAGGATATGGGACTTCCCTGGCAGTCCAGTGGTTAGGAGTCCGCGCTTGCACAGCAGGGGGCATGGGTTCAATCCCTGGTCGGGGAACTAAGATCCGCAAGCCTCGTGGTGTGGCCAAAAAAAGAGAAAATATTAGGAAAATTGTGCCTACCTGGCAAGGCTGTGGAGCAGCTCCAACTGCACGTGGACTGTAAGGCTTGTGATGGACGCCAGGGCGTCTGCAGGTCTGGGAAGGACGGCCTTCCTGGAAGAGGCGGCATCTGAACTCAACCTGAAGGATGGAGAGGAAGCAGCTGAGCTCGCCTCTGCACGTGGAGGGAAGCACAGGGTGAGACGGCTCCTGTGCCACGCAGATGAGCTGCTTGACACGGAAAGAATCTGCCTGCTGAGGTTCTTGCATTTTTTGTTACTCAGCTGCAGGCAGGGAGTAGAGCGGAGCGTACTGCTGCCAACAGATTTCTAAGATGATGTGCTTTGAATCCTGGCAGAACTCCCGGTTGGATTTATGCGCCATCCCAGTGGATTTCTAATTCTATGTTAGTTACCTCAAACGTAGCCATCTTCAAAGAAATTCACCGGCCCGTGACATTTGACTTAATCATAAAATCAGTCTCTGGGAGGAAGATCTTGTCCTCCAGGCTCCAAATCACGCGGTAGCAGCCGGGACAGAAAACAAGACTGAAAAGTACACCTTGGCCTCAATTAAGAGGCACAGTTTGTGCATGAAAACCCAGTCAAACTGAATGGAACTTTTCTACGGGGATTTTCACTGGGATTGGACGGGGCTCTTCAGGGTAAGCGCGGACTCCAGGAGGGAAATGGTGCTCAGGTGGGCGGAGGCTTCCTGATTGCCCTACCTCGGCCAGGTTTCTGTGCTTCTGGCGGGGGGGGGGCTGGAGGGGGGTCCCGTCCCCCTCCTGTGTTCCTCCAGCCAGGGACCGAGGGCCCGAGGGTTGTGAGGACACAGGGAACATGCTTCTGAGTCCCCACCCGACGCAGGCCGGTGAGAAACGGGACACGTCTCTCGGTGGGGGGAAAGCACCTGGACGGGCACCCCGCGAAGCCACCGGGACGTCCCCCTCAAATCCGACTGTGCCATTTGTTCATGAACCACGTGTTCATCCCCCGCTCTCCCACTCCAACCCCCCATCCCCACCCACCCAGGGAGGCCCAGGAGCCAACCGCCTGCTCTGCAGTGGACGGATTTGATCTCCATCTCACTGATTTGACTACCATTTTTGGTGACCTGGTTCCATCCATCTGATGTCCACAACCTCAGATTGTAACTCATCTTAAGCAAACTTTCCCCGGTGACCCGGCTGTGACCTGAGCGTCGCTGGCACCTATGGCACACGTGTAGACCCCCGTGAACACACCCTTGCTTTCCCACCCGGGCCGGCGGAGTTGATGAGGTTCCCACCAGGCCCATTAGAGGCAGGCAGGTTGGTACTTCCAGCTTTGCTGGGTTCACGTTCTTCGAAGTCAGCCTAAGCGTCTTGAACCGGCTGCTTCACCGCCCGGGAGCTCAGGTCAAGACTGAGCACTGGGGAGGACAACACCTTCCCCACAGCAGTGTGGTGTTTACGCACACAGCGCCCGTGGATCCAGCAGCCATCTTGTTTATTTTCTTTAGTGGTAGCTGCTGGCTGAGTGACCAGCGTGCTCCCCGCGGACACTTCTGAGGACCTTGCCTCCGTCGGCTCGTCAGCCTGCAGGGCCGCGCCATCCCCAGGCGCTCCCGGATCCTGGCAGTTATCGCCAGGGTAGCCGGGAGCTAGAGATGGCTCAGGGCCCTCCCGCCGGTGGGGTCTCCCTTCTGAGACGGGGCTGTGCTCGGCCGCCCCGTGGAGAGGCCGACACACAGGGGCCGGCCTGGAGGGAAGGCGCGACTTCCCAGAACAGATCTGACGGGGTTGCTTAGTCACCAGCCACCTGACCTTCACAGCAAGTCACCCTGGGGCCTGTGGTCTCCCTCCTGAGCAGACCCCACCTGGGCGCTCATCCTTGGTCCAGTCAAGGGGCGGAGGTGGCATCGTTCACGCAGAAAGGACCACGGAGGGCCCGACCAGCACACGTCAGCTGCTCAGAGCTCCCTGGACTTTTCTCCAAAGTCGTCCCTGATGGTGTTGTGAAAGGCTCTCCAGTATTCAACTAACCGTGTGGGGTTGCGCGGAGCGTTCGAGGGAATAGGCCTGGGGAAACATCCCCACAGGCCCGGGTGTGATGCAGGCGTGAGAGATGCTGGCTTCATCTTGGCGGCTTCGTCCTTGACCCCGGCACCTTCGGTGGCCAGTTATTTCCTCTCTAGTTTGTCAGAATCGTCTAAAAATGCACATGGGAGTTTTCCAGATTCCTTTCTCTTCTTCCTCAGGTTATGACTCTACAATTAGTACTTGGATGTATTTGAAAGGCTCCTCGGGGAGATGGCGCTGCTATCATTTTCTGTAAAATAGCCTTCGTTTTCAGGAGATAACATCTCTCAGTACTCAATCCCTCTCTGTGATCATCAGAATAGTACATCAAGGTTCTACTTAGTTTCATACAGGGACCAAGTTTTAGCTGAAGAAACAGAATGAATGACCAAATGTGGACTCGAGAAATACAGAATTAGGCTCATTTTAACACATGGGTTGCAACATAAGAAATATGTCTGCCGTGGCTCCCCCACACAGCATTATTCCTAAATATGCATGAGACCCGTTTTCCTCCATTTCAGTGAAACATTTTGCCCTGAAACAGTTAGTCCCCGTTTTTGCACCTGATAACCACACACGGGCTCGTGTCACCTGTCCCCAGGCTCACGGGGAGCGCCTGGTGGCCGAGCAGAGCCACGCACAGGAAGAGGCGAGCCGCCAGGACCCCAGAAGCAGGTCTTCTAACCGAAGTCCACAGACGGGCCGGGCTCCAACGACGACCCCGCTTGAGAGGAAGGACGCGATGCCCTCCCAGGAAGGACACCCCGACTGTCCTGCCCACACTTGTTGATGTTCAGCCGCCCTTCCTCGCCCTCCATCCGATGGTCCTGCCAGGACAGCGCTTCCCAGTGGGAGGTGGAATCGTCCAAATGTGGTCCCTAGAGAGGAAGAGGGCGTCGACGCCCGGAACTGTGGCTTTGCATCCTGTTACCTGAGAATACGACTCTCTCAGAAGACAGGGATTGTCCCCCGGGGTCGGGACCGAGGTGTGCAGGATGCTCATCATGGAGGTGAGAATGGAGCTTCCGTTGTGGGACAGCCAGGAAGGCCATGGTCCCTCCTCCACCCAACCTCTCTTCCCGCGGCTTCTGAAGACCTGTCCTCTTCGGCACGAGTGCCCCTGCCCCTTTCCTCGTCTCCGCAGAGTCTCTCCACCCGGACCCCACATTCCCAGCACCTCTTTTACACATCGCCCCTCCTCCCCCAGTCTCTCTGCCTACGAGACCAGATCCAAGCCCCCGAGCGTGGTCTTCATTCTTCTCTGCCCACCCAGCCTCGTGATACACAGCACTCCTTCAAGCCAGGGCCCCGGTCCCGAGAGTGCTGTCTGCACGCCCTCTGGGCCAGTGCTCCAGCAGCCCCAGCTTCCCTGCCCCCAGCCCCATTCACAGGACCAGCCTCTGCTCTCCTCTCCAGGTGCTCAAATCCTGACCACCGCGTACGCAGATACCACCCTCACCTCAAGCCTGAACATCCCAGAGCAAACGACTTCGGCCTCCTCATTGTTCTGGTACCCTCTGTGGGCTCTGTCATTCATCCGGCCCCTCACAGGCACGTAGGGGGTCCCTGAGCATGGAGCATCTTCAGAAAGGATGAAGGCCTGCCCATCAATTGTTATAAACCATTCCTCCTGGTCCCGTCCATTTAGACACTCTGCAGTGGGGAAGCATCAAAACAGTTAACTGAACGGTAAACCAATTTAATGTGTAAACCAATATATACTTTAAAATGATACAATATCTTCCCCTTCATTCTCTAAACTACATAATTATCACGTCAACACCTTTATATATGAAACCATTTACCAAGATGTAGGAATTGTAGCACAAGTTGTTTATCCAACCTAATAATTTCCAAATCATCAACAGACACCTAGGACTTCCCTGGTGGCGCAGTGGTTAAGAATCCGCCTGCCAGTTCAGGGGACACGGGTTCGAGCCCTGGTCCAGGAAGATTCCCATATGCCATGGAGCAGCAAAGCCTGTGCGCCACAACTACTGAGGCTGCGCTCTAGAGCCCGCGAGCCACAACTACTGAGCCCACGTGCCGCAACTACTGAGCCTGTGTGCCACAACTACTGAGCCTGTGCTCTAGAGCCCACGAGCCACAACTACTAAGCCCGTGTGCTACAGCTACCAAAGCACGTGTGCCTAGAGCCCACGCTCCGCAACAAAGAGAAGCCACTGCAATGAGAAGCCCGCGCACTGCTGCGAAGAGTAGCCCCCGTGCGCCGCAAATAGAGAAAGCCTGTGTGCAGCAATGAAGACCCAGCACAGCCAAAAATAAATAAATAAATTTATTTATTTTTTAAAAAAAGAAAAAAACCAGACATCTAAAAACTTGGGTGTGACTTTTATTTGACAGAGCTGTCCCTATAAGATGCCTCTGACTGAGCCACAATTGACATGGGAACCCCAAAATCCTTCTGGCTTCCCTTTTAATTACACCGTCATTAGGCAACTTTAGTTCTTTTAGTATCTTTGACATGGTTCATAGGACAGAAGCCTGTGTGAGCATTTGCAACACTAACATCCATTACGTGTAAATATTCCAGCTCTAAGAACACTGTCTGACATTTTCGCGTGTTCAATATCTCTGCTATTAAACTAAATCTTGAAAATTGGTTCTTGGATTGTCATATTCACTAGCTGGCTGAATTTTCTTTCTCCACGGATCTTCACACATGTCATCTGACCTAGTTTCAGAATTCCAAAATTTAAAAACCTTAACATTTCATTTTATTTTTTCACTTTTTTCATTAAACCACAAGTGCATTTTCACTTAATTTATTAGGCAAGCTGGTAGTTTTTCCTCTTGGAACAGCTACTGTATGCTTTCATTTCAAATTTCATATCTTATTTCTTCCCTTGAATATAATCTTCTACTTTTCCTTCATAGTTTCATTTATTTGTTTTCTGTGTTCGTTCACTGAAGAAATATTTGTGGAGCACCCACCAGGGGCGAGTGACATTTTAGGCACATGGGATACATCAGTGATCAAAATCGACAATAAAATTAACAAAAATCTCTGCCCTGAAGGGGCTTTTACAGAGTAGAGGAAAGAAAATAAATAATAACCATAGCAAAAGAAGAAAATGATACCTGTTTAAAGCTGATAAGAGCTATGGGGGAAAAACAGAGCAGGGAAGAGGGTTCAGGAGTTCTGGGGACAGT